GACAGACAGACAGACAGACAGACAGACAGACAGACAGACAGACAGACAGACAGACAGACATAATCTATAGTGGTCAAGGCCACCATTGGCCACCCCCTGGCTCTGTTATTGGGCCTGGTCATGGATAAACTTGCTCTCTCCAGGATCTGCCACCCTGCACTGTCTCAGACAAGGAAAAATAAATAAAAAGACCTACTTTTGTTTTTATAGCCAGTGTAACTCCTACTCACTTGTATATTTTACATTTAAAACATTAAGGTTTACTTGCATTCCCTGTTCAATTCTAGTCCAGAAAAACAATAATTTTGAGAACAATATTTTTCCATTCAAATTCCTCAGCAATGGGAGACATCAGCGTACTGCTTGTTTACATGCCTTTCTAAGGTTGTGGGGAAGATGGTGTCTATCTCAATCAATCATTGTGTTAGAGGTGGAGAACACCACCGCCACATCAAGTCACAAATACACAAGATGATTTTAGTCAAAAACTCTGTCATGAAAAGCACTGAGTGATATGTATTTCTTGTATAGTTGGTGAGCCTTCAACTCCATTTCTTTTTAACATTTGTCTCTTAAATCCTTATTATACAAACAATTTTGTGATCGTTAGCCTGATGCTTCTTGAACCCTGCTTGTTAAACTGATGTATCAGTTGGCATTTTCCCAACAAAGAGGGCAGGCTTGCTGCTTCTCATATTTTAAGATCTACGGCCCCCACATACACATGTACATACATAAATAGCGCAGCAGCTCCGTCATTCAGATAGTTTATTTATTACCACTGGTGCTCATGTGGCTGCCCCCACCCTGCTAATGTAAGCACTGGCTTTTTGGCTCTCACCACTAAGTGGAAAGAAGTCCCACAGTTTATGTCATGCTTTGATTAAGTGGTACTTTTGATGGTGAGAAATATGTCCAGACACTCTCAAGCTGCACCTGCACCAGCAGCAGCATTTCTGAGCAACACACCAAACATATTTTTGTGTCTAAATCTCCACTATCTATTCATGAATAGATAAAATGTAATTAGGAATGTTTTTGGGAGTGTGTGTTTTCATGTCCTAAATGTGTTAAATATATGTTTTTATATGTGTATGTGTAATTTGTGTATTTGTGTACATATGTTTTCCAGCAAGTAGCATGCTTATTTTCTACTATAATAACAGGAAACACCTTGACTGCCAGCCATTTTTGTGTTGGCTAAGGTCGGTGAGCTGCAGCAGACATCTTGGATTGTGTTGACTAAAAGTTAATCACTTGTAGATGTGCATCCTAAGGTTACTTATTAAGGAATTTGTTGAAACCTGTTCAGTGCTTCATAAAATGTTTTGCTAACACACAAACATGTAGACATTGATGTACCAGTTAATGCAAACAATTGAAACAAAGCTGGTGTGTAGTGCTCAGACTATGTGTTGGAGATGATGTTCAGCTTCTGCCACATCAAGTTTCAGCTGACAATTCAGAGAACTGACAAAATTATAGACATTTTAGTGCTGGTCAATGTTGCCTAGCTACAGCAGCCATTTTCATTGTGTTGACTACTAATGTTGAAGAGTTGTACTTTGTAGATGTAAATCTAATAATTACTTTTTGAGAGTTTTATTAAAATCCATCTTGTGGTTCATGAGATAATTTGCTAACAGAGTTGACTACTATTATTTATTGTGAAGTTTTGAAAACACTTTGCATGATCGGTTAGCACTTGGAGTACGTTTTGTGAATGACAATTGCTAACACAACAAATTTTAGCTCAATATCAGTAAAATTGACTGTCATGACCATGTTTGGATCTGCGATCTTGACTTAGCTATGGCGGTCATTTTTAATTGGTTTGACTCCTAAAGGTATTATGTTGTTGGTGTGTGATTACACTCATTTTTACAATCCGAATAGTGGTTTATTTATGAGATATTTAATTAAGGCTACAAACAGACAAACACAACCATGAACATGGACATAAGAAAAACATTATCACCTTTTCACTTTTGGCAGTGGGTGTTAAAGATATAGTGATTTATACTGACATATAATCATTCTAATTTACTTTTCATTTTATATGCTTTTAGATGATTGTCTATTGTGTTTGCACTTCATCTGTGTTCTTTGTTTAAACAGGTCTTTCTTGTAAATAAGTCCTCGTGGCTCAACGAGACCGACCTGTATAAATAAATGTTGAATGAATGAATAAATAACAATGCTTTTTTGATGCAGAAATCTCTTGTGTTTGGGGGTTTTATTCCTAAGGGTCAGGACTAAAAGTACGGGTACATGTCAAATTAAAAATATGCCCACTGAACATACAGTAGAATAAGCTTTTTTGTTTCTATTTATAAAGCTGGAATGTTGTATAAGCATGTTATTCAAAATCCGTTACTGAAAAGTTTATTACTAATTTTGCCAATGTTTTTTTTTTCTTTCTCGTTGCAGGAATCTTCATACTCATTTGCACTGAAATGCCTTATCAGCCTTTCCACTGTTATTTTGCTCGGTCTTATAATAATGTACCACGCCCGGGAAATCCAGGTGAGTTTTTCTTTCCCCTTCTATTTCCTGTAAATTTATTATAAGCTGCTTTCAAAATGATGAGATTAGTGTTGCCATAATAATATAATTAAAACTAGATGCATGTGGTGTGAATGGTGAATGAATGACATTACTAAATTTTACTGAAGACGCTGAAATGGAATAGTTTAAGATAAAATAAGTAGAGTAGAACATTTGCTAAAAGCTAGAAGTAGCTAAATGCTTGCTAAAAAAGCCAATCATTAAGTGCTTTACAATAAAATCAATCACAAAAACAACGAATTAAGGTAAAGCAAGATTGAAAATATCAGATTTCAACTGCAAAAAGCCAAAAACATCTAAATGCTAGCTAAAATTAGCTAAAATTTAACTAAAAGTTAAATTTAGCAAAAGGTTAGCTGAAAGGATCAAAAGACCAGCAAAAAACTAAAAGTGAAGATGGTTGCTAAATATTACAAAGGGCCAGTGGTTTTGAATACTCAAACACTTTACTGAAGTAAAAGTACAAATAGACAGACAAAAATGTACTCTAGTAAAAGTAGAAGTACCACATTAACGTTTTTACTTAAGTAAAAATAAATAAGTACTTGTGTTTAAAAATACTTAAAGTATTAAAAGTAAAAGAACTTCCTGAATGTATTACATAATGCAATGGTCCACATATCTTTAAGTGTGCCTACTGTATGTATATTTTCTGTAATACATTAATAGTGTTGAGTCATTTTAATGAACAATGCTGCAGATAATACATGTTTTTATTGTGTTTACTCTGTGACACAGTTCACACCTGGACTTGTGATTCAGTGCAGCAGAACTTCAAGGATGACCTGCAGAGTTAAATGTCATTAATCAAAATAAGAAAGAGGAATGATTATACCTTTGAAAGTTTTTATTTAACACAAATCAAAACCAATGTGTCATTTTAACTGCAGTAAACACATTTAAGTAAAAGTTGTCTGCTTGAACAAAAGGAGCATTAGACACAACTGACAAAGGAACAGACTCTGATCATTTCAACTCCAGTTTGTCATCAACTCTAGTTAAAATACTGTCTATTCAACTTTGTAAAGGGTCAATATTGAACAATATTTTAACTTCCTGACACCATTTTTAAAACTTGGACTCGAGTGTCGAGACATTTGGAGACATCTCTTGTCTCCTGACATCCATGAACTGACACATTTTAAAATTGCAGCAAGAATTTCTTGTTCAAGCTCAGAAGAAGTTGCTTTTCAAAGATTTTTGAGTCCAGTCTGGCTCTTTTGGGAGAGAGAATCTGTTCTGTTGTACTGAGCAGTCTTTCAATAATCTTTCAATAATGTAGATGAACATATGCATGAGATATATTCATAAATTAAACGGATTCTTTCATTTTTCTGGACCGTATATAATGTGCATTGAATTTAGAAATGTAACGTGAGACGTTAATTATCTTTGACCCATCAAAATGAATGCGGTCATTTATTAACAGAATCAAAGTTTAACACATCACACATTTACATTAATTGGCAAAATATGGAAAATAACAACATGGCTAATTTTAGCAAACTGTACAATTTTGATTATCCACACGGCGGTGGATGAGAACTTTACACAGACATTTCTAAAATATCTGGAATGATTTCTACCTGATAGAAGAATTTAAAGATGGAAAGATGAAGTTTAGAGGGAGAAAAAGATGGGTGAGGGGGTTTGTTTGTGTCAGCATTCAGAACGGCACTTTCCGGGTTTTTCTCAGCTTCTTCCCCAGTACACTTAGGTGATAGAATCAACTCTTTTACCTGGAGATGTCTCCACCGGTACGAAAGTCCATTCAACGCACCCTTTCAGCGTCTCCGTAGGAACAGCTGTGAATCGTCCGAAATAGTGACGGTGCTTGTTCGACACAAGTTCACCTCACAAGTGGACTTCACATGAGTGGAGTCCGTCAGAGTTCCACTCAGAGGTGGAAGATGTTATAATCCATAAGACTCGGAAGAGCTCTGTGGTCATGTCAGGATCTTCCTGTTTCCCAGCACGGGAGCTGCAACGACTCCAAACTCGACTGCAAACTCGACTGGAAACTCCACACGCCTCTCGACACTCTCTCGACACTCTCTCGACACCGGTTTGAACTAGGAAGTACCGACATTTTAAAGAGCTTTATTTCCGGTTCATTTGGGAGTTTCTGATTGGTCAATATCGACCAGACAGGGGTGTGTTTTGTGACGTAAGAGGTCACTAGGAGTCAGAAAAACAGCAAGAATGTTATGGAACAGATTGAAAATGTTTTTAGACAGACGAGAGGGATATTTAGACGAGTTGGCGGAAAAACAGGTGCCAGCTTCTCTATTTACGTCTGAGAGGATGTAAAAACACGACAGCTCGTTCCAACAACTGGTCTGCGTTTGACTCCGACCTTGGACCACTTACACTGCTCATTCAAAGACAGAAAATCAGAAAATGCATAATTACTCTGTAACAGACCTTAACATGAATTCTAACTTTGCATGAGGATTAAAAATCATTATTACTGTTTCACAGTTAATAAAAATTGATTAGTTCACTACAACATCTAAAATGGTTTGAACTAAAACACTTTGATTATCAACATTTGTAAAATAGTAATGATAATAAAAAAGAGAGTGTTCTTTCACTTGAATTTTCAAGAAAGAAAGTCTCAGGATGGGTCAACCTGTATTTCTGGATGCAAATCAATGAAATGACAAGTTCTGTCCCATATGGTGTCTAAGGTCAAGGTTTTGACCTTCAGGCCTAGTTCACTACAATAATCTTTCAACAATCTTTCAATAGTCTTTCAATAATCTTTCAATAATATTTCAATAAGGCCATGGGTGGCACGTATCTTCTGGCTGACTCTCTGTGGTGGAATCCATTTTGGGTGTGTTGGTGGTGCTGTGGGTGCACCCAGCTCAGTGACATATATACTAGAATATATGTCATTGGTCCAGCTCTTCTTGAAGGCAGGTCAAACGTTACCAGTCCACTTTGCAGTGAGTCAATGAACCAACTCCCCTCTCACCATTGGTTACTTTCAAACTAGCAAACAAATAAAAAAAACACAACATGAATGTAACGTATAACACAACGCATTATAGAAATGTAGTGTAGTAGAAAGTACAGATACTTAATGTAAAATGTAGTGGAGTAAAAGTCGAAAGTCCCCACATTTAACTCTACTTCAGAAAAGTACAGATACATGACAAATGTACTTAAGTACAGTAACAAAGTACTTGGACTTAGCTACATCCCACCACTGCAATGGGCATACAAACAAACAAACAAACAAACAAACAGAGAAAACAAACAAAAAAGGAGACAGAAGTAGATTTTCAAGAAAAAAAAAATAAAACTGAATAAATTGAAGGGCTTTTGTGGGAATAAATCTGTTAATAAAGTTAATCACTAGACCAGCATCTCTAAAAAAGCTAGATAAACTCAAGTAAAAATGTTATGAGTTTTATTCAACAGTTTTTTTTTTTCTTTTCCCCTTTCTCTTATCGCTCAGACTGATAAGAAACCAGGGAAACAGTTGTTGTATGCACAGTCTCTCCCTTCTCACCTACTATCCTTTGACTTTGTGGACCTTTACAAGAGATCCTTCCTGCCTACATCCATCAGTATCTATAACATCTCTTAATGAAATGAGGATAACGAGTTAGAACAACAAATAATTTCCCTTTGGGATTAATAAAGTATTTTTGAATGGAATTGAATTGTACTAAGTTTGTAACTCCTTCAAAGTGGTTGCAGGTGTCTTGGTGGCCTCTCTCACTATTCTCCTTCTTGCACAGTCATTCAGCTTGTGATGACAGCTTGCTCTTGGTAGATTAACACGTGTTCCATATTCTTTCCTTTTTTCGATGATGATTAACAAAACTCCTTGGGATGTTTAGGGCCTTGAAAAAAATTTATATCCCTCCTCTTGCTTATACTTTTCAATAACCTTTTCTCAAAGTGGAAATAGGACAGAGTGTCAAGAGAGTGAACATTTATGCAAACACTTATTTTACATTTAAAAAAATGGACTCAGCAAGACTGTTGCTGGAGAAACGTGTAGTAGAACATTGCTGCAATTTTAAAAATCTAATATACTCTTGTCTGACTGTTTATCTCACCATTAATTTAAAAGTCCATTACTGTTCCTGTCAGTGTATGATGTATGTACCAAATTTGATTCTTTAATTCAATTCCGTTCATCTATATAGTGCCAGTTCACAACAAAAATCTCAGGGCCCTATACAAAAAGCAGTTGCATACATTATGAAATGCCAATTTCTAAATGTTATCGAAGGATGCTAACAGAATGTGTCAGAGCTTCACGTTGATGCTAGCTCTCCTCCACTGGTGACGGTGAAAAGAAATAACTTCCTTTTAACAAGAGAAACCTCAGGCAGAACCAGAAGCAGGTTCAGGGTGGGTTGCCATCTACCCCGACTAGCGGGGGGGTTGGGAGGACAGAAAAGAGACGGACAGCCACAGTAGGATTGTTCCTCAGACATTCTGAAGTTAGTATTAGATACAGTAAATATTTTCTGTGCTCATTTATTTCATTTGGAAGAGAAAGAACCATGAAACAAAATTAGCTTGCTCATTCTCTTGCTTGCTCATTGCTGCAGCCTTTTTAGAACTGCTCAGTTAAGGAGCCACTGACGTGTTCTTATAGCATGTTGTACTGTTTTCAAGAGTTTTAGCTGAAACAGTTGAAGATGGCACGGCTTGTAAGCCTGCAGGAAAAATACCAATAATCCTAAATTGATCACAAAAATGTGTATTGAACACCCAGTGTGACATGCAACCCTTCTCTGTAGAGATTATTTCACAGTGCAGGTGACAGCTGACATGCTGCTTCTGATCAGGGTGAATAGGCAGCTACTTAAAGATCTTTATTTCACTGGTGTGTCATGAAGTAAAACCATGCAAGCCAGGGGAGTGGTGGGGCAGAGGCTAGAGAAGGTGGGCATGTGATCGGAAAGTTGCCATTTCAACTCGACGAACCGAGTTCTCATGGCTCAATGAGACTACCTGTATAAATAAAGGGTAAATAAAATTTGCCCCACTCTGGGCCCTTGAGCAAGGCCCTAGAGTAAAAAGTGTGCAAAGTTAATCCCCTTTGCAGTAAACGATTCAGTTTTCTTTGTTTCTCTAACTTGTGCAAATGGGAAATGTTTTATTAAAGCAAATTCCTGCCCAGTTCACACAGGAATGTTTTGATTTGTTTTTCGAAATTAGCAAATGCTTTATTTTTCTTTTTTTCTTCTTTTTTAAAATTGATTTAACCTTGCGTCAACACTCAATCAGCAATTTAGGAGCCAATAAAGTGTGTTTTACAAAACTGGGATCTATTCAATTAAATTAAATTCAGTTTATTGCTATAGCACCAAGTCGCAACAGAAGTCATCTCAGGGCACTGAACAGAAATATTTATATAAAAAATAATAATTTAACATTATTTATCTGTGGAGCAGACTGCTTTGAATTTACCGGTGACTCCATCACAGAACTCTCATCTTGAGCAAGCATGAAGGCGACAGTGGAAAGGAAAAACTCCCTCATGAAGAAGAAACCTTTAGCAGAACCAGACTCAGGACAAGCGGACCATCTGCTTCAACCAGCTGGGTTTGAGAGGAACAGATACACAATGGCAGGTCAAGAATCACATGTTAAGATAGAAATAATATCAAATGGAAAACTATACAATTTTAACAATTCATTTAAAGAAATGAGGTCAATTTGTCCTCTAGTAGTCTAAGTTTAAGGCAGCATAACAAGCCATCCCCTAACTATAGGATTTATCAAAAAGGAAAGTCTTAAGTCCAGTCTTAAAACTGGACAATGTGTCAGCCTCATGGACAGAAACTGGAAGTTGGTTTCACAAGAGAGGAGACTGATAACTGAAAGATCTTCCTTCCATTCTGCATTTGGAAACTCTAGGAACTGCGAGTAAACCTGCAGTCTGAGAGCAAAATGCTCTGTTAGGAAAATATGAAACTTCTGTTAGGAAAATATGAAACAATATGATCTTGAATATGGAACTAGGTTGTTGAGAGCTTTGTAAGTTAGAAGTAATATTTTGAATTAAATTCTACTAGAGAAATATGATCTCTCCCACTAACTCCAGTTAAGACTCTGGCAGCAGCATTTTGGATCAACTGAAGACGTTTTAAAGAAGTATTTGGACACCCAGATAATAAACCATTGCAATAGTCCAGTCTAGACGTGACAAATGCATGGACCAGTTATTCTGCATCATTTTTAGATAAAATGTTTATAATTTTAGCGATATTTCGCAGGTGGAAGAAGACATGTCCTGATCAAAAATAATACAAAGATTTTTAACATTCAAACTAAACTAGATTAATGCCATCCAAGGAGGGTGAAATTTTGAAAAAATTATTCCTAAAATATCCTGATGCATGCTCAATAATCCAGGTAGAAAAATTTAAAAAAGTTAAGTCTGGTCCTTTGGAGAGTGTGATGCAGAACAGCTCAGAATCAAAGTTTCATCCTGCCTCAGCAATGCCAAACCACCACCTTCCAACATCAGTAGAGAGGAGAGGGATGCACTCACCACTCTTAGCAAGAACAAAAACATCATCATTCTCCCAGCAGACAAAGGAAGGTGCACAGTGATTATGAAACCAGAAATATTATCATGAGAAAGTTATGACACTCCTTAGTGACTTAAACACTTATGAACCTCTGAAAAGAGATCCAGGAAGTGGTTACAAGAAGAAGTTGCCTGAAAATTTTGGAGCAGGACAAGGCTATTGACCATATTCTGTACCACAGACTGTACCCAGGGGAGGCCACACCTAGTCTGTATGGTTTACCTAAAATCCACAAACAAGGTGTACCTTTAAGACCAATCGTTAGCATGATTAACTCTGTCACTTACAATGTTTTCAAATATCTGGCGTCTGTACTCATCCCTTTAGTTGGCAGCTCAGAACACCACATACAGAACACCATGGACTTTGTGGACAAGGTGAGGGATGTCATCATGGAGACTGATGAAACAATGGTCTCTTTTGATGTCACATCACTCTTTACATGCATTCCTGTTGATGATGCAGTAGAGGTGGTCAGTTTAAAATTAAAATCAGACACCACTCTGAGCAGCAGGACCACGCTTTCCACAGAACAACTGTGTCAACTCTTGAAACTGTGCCTGCAGTCAACCTACTTCACATATGGGGAGCAATATTACAGGCAGAAACATGGGTGTGCTATGGGGTCTCCAGTTTCTCCTATTGTTGCCAACCTGTACATGGAGGAGGTAGAAAAGAGAGCCTTGACGTCCTTTTCAGGGACACCACCAAGTCATTGGTTCAGGTATGTTGACGACACCTGGGTTAAAATCAAATCTCAGGAAGTCCAACATTTTACTGACCACATCAACTCTGTGGATAAATACATCAAGTTCACACGAGAAGATGTAAAAAATGGCAAGTTGGCTTTCTTGGACTGTGAAGTCTCAGTTTTTGATAGAGGACATTTGCAAACCGAGGTGTACCGCAAACCCACCCACACAGACCAGTATTTGCAGTTTGACTCCCATCACCCTTTGGAGCACAAGTTAGGAGTCATCAGGACTCTGTACCACAGAGCAGACAGCATTCCCACTAGCCAGGCAGAAGAAGAAATCCTTCCTGAAAGCAGAGAAGAAACCCAAACAGGACTCCAGTCAGCCATCAGGTGAAAAGGAGGAACCCAGACCCAGACCAGTGGTCATTCCATATGTTGAGGGAGCATCAGAGAAACTGAGACGTTTATTTTCTAAACATAACGTCCCAGTGGCTTTCAAACCCCAAAATACATTACGGCAAAGACTGGTTCATCCCAAAGATCCAGTCCCCCGGCACAAACAGAGTAATGTTGTGTATGCTGTTCAGTGTCAGGAGGGCTGTGATCAGTCTTACATCGGGGAAACAAAACAGCCACTGGCCAAAAGGATGGACCAGCACAGAAGATCAACATCATCAGGCCAGGATTCTGCAGTCTACACTCATCTCCAGGCCAGCGGTCACTCTATCAGGGATGAAGATGTGCACATCCTGGACAGAGAGGAACGATGGTTTGAGAGAGGAGTAAAGGAGGCCATCTTTGAGAAAAGAAATTGTCCATCATTAAACAGGGGTGGAGGCCTCCGGGTTCAACTGTCCCCCTCTTACAATGCTGTGATTGCTAGTATCACTCAGCCCTCTGTGAGTAGTAAACAGCCATCAGTGTGCTAATGATCCATTGTTAGGCTGATGGTCCTTCTTGAGCATGTGAGCAGCTGGTTTTGGTTGTCAGCAGCAAAACTGGTTGATCCACTCTGAGAAGGTGCTATTTAAGAGACTGAGCTGAATACAGCATCTCGGATGGAAAACAAAACGTTTCTACAATTTTTGTATGTATGTATGTATGTTTTATTTATTCATTTCATTTTATCCAAACAACAGATATAATACAATTTAAAGAAAAGAAAAAAGATATACAATCACAGAAATAAAATGAAAGGCAGCAGAAGAAGATTTTTTTTCTGTTGTTGTTGTTTGTTTTGTTTTTTGAATGTCCAGAGGACCAGACAACTTTTTTTTATTATTATTCCCAATATGTTCAGGTCCAAAAACTAAAACCTCAGTCTTTTCTGTATTCAAAAGCAGAAAATATAGGGTCATCCAGGTTTTTACATCTTGAAGACATGCTTGTAATCTAAATAACTGATTTGTTTTATTGGGTTTCATGGACAAATATAACTGTGTATCATCAGCATAACGATGAAAATTCACCCCATGTTCAGGTCAATATGCGTTGGACATTATGAGAAAAATACTTCTCTTCAGCATCCCTTGCTTGAGCCTGAAAAGTGTCCAATATGTCCTTATTCAGGCTGACTCAACTTCCAGTCTGTAATGCCCTGCACTTTTATGGTCTTGTAGTTTAATCTAGCGCAAAGTTGAAGTTCCACTTTGCATGTGCTCTTGCTCTTGTATTCATCATCATGGCCTTTTTTGTGTGTTTATATTTCAAAACTTTGAATGTACTGTATAATCAGTCCAGGGTGTGTATGTACACAGTCTACCCATTGTGTAAGGTTTGTGCATGCTCTACATGTAGTTTCCTGTCTCTGGGGTATTTTTGTGTATTTTCACCACACACAGACAAGAAGTCAAACCACAAAATTACTGTGTAACTAAATCAAGAAAGCTAACATGGTAAATGCCTCCAAAGATTTGAGCTGTACTATAAAGTGTGTCTGAAAGAACATGCACATGCATTTAAATTACTAAATTAATTTAACTAAAGCACTCTTGGTTTCTATTTGTTTTTGCACAGCTGTTCATGGTTGACAATGGCGCAGATGACTGGAGGATAGCCATGACATATGAGAGAATCTTCTTCATCGTGCTGGAGCTTTTGGTGTGTGCCATTCATCCCATCCCCGGCCAGTACGTCTTCACTTGGACAGCACGGCTGGCTTTCACCTACATGCCATCTGTGGCTGATGCCGATGTGGACATTATCCTCTCTATCCCCATGTTTCTGAGACTCTACCTGATCGGCAGGGTTATGTTACTCCACAGCAAGCTGTTCACGGACGCTTCGTCCCGCAGCATTGGTGCCCTCAACAAGATCAACTTTAACACCCGCTTTGTCATGAAGACCCTCATGACCATCTGTCCAGGAACAGTGTTGCTGGTGTTCAGTATATCCTCCTGGATCATTGCAGCATGGACTGTGCGTGTCTGTGAGAGGTAAACACAGGATTGTGAAAAATTAATGTTACAGGGTGCAAACTGAGAAACAAAATGGCTGAAGCATAGTCATGTTGCTTTGTGGGTTACGAGACACCTTTTCTCCCATTTGCCTCTCAGTGTTACCTTGTTTTCCACCACTCACACTCAGTTGTCCACAGAAAAGAGCAGAATCATTAGCATATAGGTCATGTGTAAATAAAGACGGGCTTTTACTGATTTGCCCTGTACTATCCCAATATTTGTTTCATCAACTCGGCACTCAATCTACAACTTCCCACTCCTTGTTTTTAAAGCTATTTTAGGTGGCTTGTCCATAATTCATAAGTTTCTAATTGTGTGTTTGCTGAATGATTTGTTTTGGTAATGCAGAGCAGCCGCAGGATCCCCTAAACCATTTTTCCCCTTTTATTATTTATTTATTTTTATTTATTTATTTTCAAAAACTGCACATCGGAGTCTGTCTCAGGGGGCAGCAGTGATTCTTACTGAAAGCAAAAGAGGCTGGGATAAAAACAAAAAGCTTTATGTTTTCCTCTCCATTGTACATTTGCATAGAGAAATGAGACGTTAATACCAGCTTTGATGTTTTTAAGTCATTTTTGCTTGGCTGGTGTAGCAGGACTGACGCAGAGTGCAGGACGTATCACTGCGGGTCTTGTCAGACCCATGCTGGTGTACATGTGCTACTTTGTAGAAATATCAAATCAAAAGGAAACTTTTTCTTCAACCAGCTCTAGCGATAGATGCTTGGCTTCTTCTTGAAGCTCGCTCTGCCTGCTTATAGCACTCCAACCCTCCTCTTTTCTATAAATCCTTTAATGACCCATTTGTTAACCTATTACTAACCATTCCCTGTCATAACCCCTTACACCTCTGACCCTCTCAAGCTCTCCACATCTCTTGTAGATTTACATTCTTAAGGTAGTATTTCATTGGGTTGTGACTAGTGGCAACTAACTGATAAGTAACAATCTTGAGGAATACTTTAAAATCTTCACAGCGTTTGCAGGCGTTTTCTTACATGAGCTGCAAAGGCTGGAAATCTTGTTGCTTGAATTATGACCACGGTCAAAAGATCAGTGCAACTTTTTTTGTAAAATAGCCACAGAGTCACATTTAGAATCTCAAATCCATCTCAAACCTATTTCAACTTGATCATGAGCATCTCAAATGTATCTCAAGTGTGCCTTGGGTGTCTGAAACCTTTATTTTGATTGTGGTAGTCTCCGACCCATCTCAAACTGATCTCAGTTTGATTATAGATACAACCAGTCTCAAATATATCTCAGGATGGTCATGGTTGTCACCAAACTGTCTCCAACCCATCTCAGCTTGGTTGCAGTGATCTTAAACTAGTCTCAAGCTCATCTAAGTTGGGGTGTCTCCAGGCCATCATAAAAGCTTCATTTTGACACCTGCAGAGGATTTCTCTTGTGGCAAACCGTCTGAGGTTACAGTCACATGTGTTCAGGTGTAAAACGATGAAAAATCATATTTTTTAAAAACGGTCCCAATCTGCCTATCTTTGCTTCAAATGTGTTCTTCAGTAGATTAAATCATAAATATTGGGCTGGCTACCAAGGTGGGTGCAAAGAAGATCAAGGTGGGTACAATATGGGCAGAGGTGGTAATGAAATGGTGGGTTCAAGGCCTAAAATACAGTTTTAAAACAATTTTGAGTCACTGACAAGTCACCAACAAGTCACCAACAGGTCTCAAACAGTTGCAGCACAGTGAAATACTATCTTTAGGACAGATTCAGTAAGCTGGTTGTGACATCATTTCCTTTAGGACATTGTTTTGGAACAAAGACATCACCAAAATAACTTTGATTGCCAATATTGTGTTGTCAAAATTACCCCTGTAAGCTCCCAATGATAAAACTGTCTGCTTCATTATCCGTCTGTCTTATTCTAAATGTCAAGTGGTAACATCATGACGTAACATCAGGCTCCTGGACCTTACTATGTAATTTACATTTTTAGAAAAACAAGTACAAAAACTCTAGGGTTGAACAATATGTCACGTTGTTTATTTATATCAACAATTTATCAGACAAAATATTATATACCCTTAAAGCCTTTAACATGACTGTATCACTATCAAACATGCACTGGTTTCCATTAATCTGGTGGCAACAGAACACATGGATTTCAAGTATAAATGAACCCCCTAATGTTTTTTTTTGGTAACATTTAGATTTAAGATCATGCAGTCATGTTCTTAAACACGACACAAATTAGAGCATCAGCAGTCCCAATTATGCAAAGGTAGCCGCTGTAGTGTGTTCAAATGGAAATATTCAACATTAAGATTTTTATGATGCAGCAAAAAATATACTAACAAAAAAACAGAACTAAGAATGATGATAACTTCTGTATGCCATCAACATACAGAATTTTATTCTGCCATTATGTAATATTCGATAACACTTTACAATAAGGTACACAAAATTTGATAAACTACTAGGAAACGCCTCAGGAACAAATCAGGAGCTAATGGGTAGTTAACCAGTACTTTCTGGGGAACACACAGCCAAGCCCTATTAGGGGACTACTGGTTAGTTACCTTGTAAATGAACAGGAACTAATCAAGAACTAATGGGTAGTTACCAAGGAAGGCAAAGAGGAATGAATCAGGAGCTAATGGGTAGTTAACCAGTACTTACTGGAGAACACATAACCAAGCCTTATTAGGAGACTACTGGTTTGTTACCACAAAAACAGAGGAGAAATTATCCATAGGGTTCTGAATAAACCCTGCACCAGTATAGGGAAGCATCATACCAAGTACTTACTGAGGAACCAATCATTACTTAATCACTACCTGACCATTACCTGTGTGTTCCCCAGTAAGTACTGGTTAACTACTTATTAGCTCATGATTTGCTCCTGATTCATTCCTGAGGTGTTCCTTAGTAGTTAATCAAATTTTGTGTACCTTATTGTAAAGTGTTACCTAATGTTCTGATGCTTTTCAACCTGTAGGAAACGTCAACACAAATACTCAATCCTCAAGTTTCTAAACTGAGATGTTGATTTTGACCCAAAGTCTCTTGGCAAAATAAACCATTTAAATTTGGAACATGTATTGAAAACTATCTTTAAACATTTTCACCAAAACTTAAGATTTATTCCTACTTGGGTGTTCATCTCTCCCAACTACAATTCTAAAATGCATCTCCTTCAGGCCAAATCTGACCAGATCTGCCTAACTTGGCTAATGCCAATATTTTCAACTCAATTTCAATTCAGTTTATTTATATATCGCCAAATCACAACAGTTGTCTCAGGGCACTTTACAGGAACATTCACATACATAAAAGCCAATTAGTAAAGTTCTCTATCTAAGGAATCCAGCAGACAAGTTGAATCTTGGCTTCGTTGCAGTCTCCCATCCTGAGCAAGCACAGTGGCAACAGTGGAAAGGAAAAACTCCCTTTTAAAGGAAGAAACCTCCAGCAGAACCAGGCTCAGGACAAGCAGCCATCTGCTTTGATCGGCTGGTTGAGAGGACAGGAAGGAGAGACAGACGAACACAGAATGTTAGGTCCAGGTATAGGTCCAGGTGTATCTGAAAGACAAAAAAGCACATGTTAAGGATAGAAAAAATAATTACAAATACAAAACAGGTTGAGCAGAGTAAGTAAAGACAGTAGCAGAGTGAAAATTGTGGTCAGTTTGTCCTCCAGCAGTCTCAGCCTATAGCAGCATAACTAAGGGACAGCTCAGGAAACCCAAGCTGACCCTAACTATAGGATTTATCAAAAAGGAAAGTCTTAAGCCTAGTTTTAAAACTGGATAATGTGTCAGCCTCACAGACAGAGATTGGAAGTTGATTCCACAAGAGAGGAGCCTGATAACTGAAAGATCTGCCTCCCATTCTGTTTTTATATTGAAGCAAGTAATTTTATTTTAATATCAAGTTTTGGGGATATCGATTGTGTGCAAATATTATTGCACTTAGAAAAAAACACACTTTTTTTTGCTTAAATTATTTAAACATCAAAACTATTTTATAAGATTGTGAAGATATTCTATGTGTTCCTGTTGGCTGAGTGCTGTGAATATGAAATGACTGGCCCTCTTAGTATTAAATATCTGTATGATCATTATATAAATCAAAATCATTGTCTGTGCTGATGTAATCAAAGAAGGCTGTTTTAGAAACAGTGTTTGTTGGTTACAGTGTAGTCTTGACAGGATCATGATCCCCTGCTGTAAGGTGGAAAGCTGGTCACAGTGGTTTGCTCATGTCTGGATGCGAGCATGTGTGTTTGTGTGTCTATTAGCAAAATATCTCATGAACCAGTGGGTGAATTTTAACAGAAACTTGCAAAAACTTTTAAAAAATGGATGCACAACTTAATAACTTTTGTAGTCAACTTTGTTCAAAATGGTTACCCCAACTTATCAACGTCAAAAGTGGCTGTAATTAATGAGTTTTACACACAATGGTCAAAAATGTGCAGTGGTAGTCAGTGATTCCTAAAACATATTACAAAACAAGATGTTTGTTTAAAATCTTGCCATTAACTATTGGAGGCAACTTCATCAGCCTGTTAACAAAATATCAGACTATTTGACTGAATTCAGTGAATAATTCTGAAAGTAATTAATCATTCATTCAACCTTTATTTAGACAGGTTAATCCCACTGAGCCTCGAGGATTCATTTACAAGAGAGACCTGATTTCAACAAAGAATGATGACAACAATGGACAACAGCAACAACAATAGACAATTATAAAAAGGCATACAGATTTTTATTTTTTTTTTACAAATAAAAACAAGATGGCAAAAAAGTAGCAAAAACAGCGAGATTATAAGGCAAATGTAGAAAACTAAAAACAAGGAAATGTCTGCATTGGTCCCTGCCAGGAGTCCAACAGATTCTTAAAGCCACTTTGAGAGGTCAAGGTCGAGAGCTTCAAATCTTTTTGTAAGATATTCCAGGAAACAGGAGCAGAGTAGGAGAAGGCCCTTTTGCCAAGTTCAGTCCTCACTGAGGGAACACTGCAGGTAATAATGTCCTGAGAGCGCACACTGTAGCTGCACTCACGCAGAGACATGTAGGAGGAGATGTATGAAGGCAGCAGACCAAGAAGTGATTTAAAGATGAAAATGTACCAGTGAGAGAGTCTGCGTGAAGTTAATGATGTCCAGTTAACCAGTGAATACAGGGTGCAGTGGTGGGTACGATAATCACAGCCAGTTATGAATCTTAGTGCACCATGATAGACAGCATCCAACATCTGCAGGGTGCTTCTAGGAGCGTTCATGTAAATAATGTCACCGTAATCAATGGAGGGAAGGAAAGTCACAGTTACAAGGCGTTTTCTAGCATTCAGAGTTAGACAGGATTTGTTTCTGAAAAAGAAACCCAGTTTAACTTTCAGTTTCTTTACTAGGTGTTCCACGTGGAGCTTAAAAGAGAGATGCGAGTCGACAAAGATACCCAAATATTAATAGGAATCAACAAACTCAATGGGGACACCATTTGAGGATAAAATTGGAGGAAGAACGGCTGGGACCGACTTCCTGTTTGAAAAAAGCATCTCTTTGATTTTAGTGGCATTAAAGACAAGTTTGAGGTGGAACAAATCTGACTGGATGATGTCAAATGCGGATTGCAAAAGCTGGAAAGCCTTAGCAACAGTTTTAGCTCGACAATAAACAACTGTGTCATCAGCATAGAAATGTAAGGATGTGTCAAGGATGCTCTGACCTACATTACCTATGTAGATTGTAAAGAGGGTGGGTCCTAAGACTGAACCTTGTGGTACGCCATTGTTGACTGTTAAATAACTGGAGGAAGTACCATTATGTTGAACACATTGCCTCCGATCTGAGAGATAGTTAGAGAACCAACCAATGGTGTGATCTGAGAAAACAATTTCTGAGAGTTTATGACACAAGATGTTATGATCCACAGTGTCAAAAGATTTAGACAGATCTAAAAAAAAAAGTGCAGCACAATAATCCTTAGCATCCAGTGCTTCAATGTCATTAAGAACCTTCAGTGAAGCAGTCGTTGTGCTGTGTTGTTTCCTGAAACCAAATTCATGGGGAGGTAAGATGTTAAATGAGTCCAGGTAATTTTTTATTTGAGAGTTAATCAGTTTTTCTAGAACCTTGGCTAAAATGCAGAGTTTAAAGATTGGTCGATAGTTGTTCAGTGATGTGGGGTCACCTCCCTTCAGCAAAGGAAGAACTAAGGCTGTTTTCCAAGCATATGGAATGGAGTCTTGGCTTATGGAGAGATTAAAGATGTGAGACACAGGGACTGTGATGATATGAGCAGCCAGCCTTAAGAAATAAGGTGGAAGTTCATCTGGACCTGCAGATTTTTTAGGATCAAGACCTTTTAACAGTTTTTTGACAACACTAACTGAGAACGGAGAAAAAGGGAAGGTGTGATTAACTGAGGATTGACTTATAGGAGGGATTTGATTTGTAGAAGTTTGGTTATTAAGTGAAGTGGCTGATTTTCCATTAGTAACTGTGTCAAATAAAGAATTAGAAGCAACAAAATGTTTGTTGAAACAGTTCAGGATCTCGTGCTTATTTGACACAGGAACAGAGTTAATGAGAAGTTGTGATGGGAGGTCAGATGATTGGGGGGGGGCCTGAGAGAGATTTGATAGTTTTCCAGAATCTGTTACGGTCATTTAGATTTTTGGAGGTCTGAGATAAGAAATAGTTGCGTTTTGCTGCTTTGACAGCAGTTGTGCATTTATTCCTCATCTGCTGAAAACTCAACCAATCAGTGGCTGAGCCAGATTTTCTCACTGCGGCCCAAAGATGATCTCTCCTGTGCAGGAGGTCAGCTAGCTCTGGAGTAAACTAGGGACTGTCTCGTCCCTTTATTCTGAACTGACGAAAAGGAGCATGTTTGTTCACAAAATAAATGAAACTATTATGAAAATAGTTCCAAGCGGAGTTCACGTCATCAATTAATAGAATACGATACCAGTCAAAGTGAGACAGATCCCAGAGGAATGACTGTTCACAAAAATGTTTCAGATCCCTTTTTTGAATTAATCTGGGCTTAGAAGGTGGAAGTTTAATGTCTCTGAGAGCCGCTATTACACAATGATCACTCAAAATGTCAGTGAATACACCTGTACCAGGGAATTTGTGAGGCATAGTTACAGGTCTAAGATGGAAGATTTTTCAGGACAGTTTTTGTTTGTTTGAAGTTGCTTGAAGTCAACCCATTTCAAGATGGCCAACACACCCAGATGTCTCTAGAAAACACAAAAGTAGCTATAATTAAATTATTTTTATACACCCATCGAAAGACTGGCGTGTTATGATATAGCCTCCGTCCGTAGACTTTTTCTCGTCCTGCTCATAACTTCTGATCCGCTCAAGATAATTAAAATATACTTCATACACTTATGAATAATCACTTGACCAAGTGTTGGATACACTTTTCAACACCCCAGCTTTAAGGCCAAGGTCACAACTCAAGGCCAAAGGTTATACAAGCAGTGTTTCCCCTACCATTATACAAGTGGTACGCCCCACCCCTGCAACAGAACCGAGCACCCCATTTACCTAACCCCCCACCCTCAACCAAACCACCTGTCAGCACTGATGTAAAGCTAAACTAGAAGCTGGCAATACAGGTACGCTAGCTAAACAGCTAAAGACAAGCCTCTTCCCTCATGCTACACCCTCACACTGAATGCCCCCCTCCCCCCACTCGAAAACTGTCGGTACAAACAGCGCACGTGTCAGATGTGTCCCCCCCCAAAAAAACAAAACAACAACAACAAACTGTCGGTAGAGACAGCACGTGGCTGAGATGTGTCTGTCTCTCTCCTCTCCCCCACCCCTGCTCTAAAACTGTAAAACTTTCGGTACAAACAGTGTGTGGCTGTATCTCTGTTTCCCCCACCCTCTAAAACTTTTGTTATAAATAGCGTGCTTCGCAGCTCAGGACATGTCTCCGTCCGAAGAATCTTTCTACAGCTGGCTGTGGGAGATGTCTCGATGCTGAAGGAACTGTGGATGCTTGTATTTTATTATGTTTTCACTGGTGGTGGGTAGGTGTAAAAGCAAATTCAGGCCATTTAGAATAGTACACAGTTAATGTAATGTCATATCTCTAGTCAGGAAAAGCTGACAATCTCAAGCCAAATTTTCTTCCATGATCCAACAGGCAATGGGTGAGGCTTTTGTATTTAGCTTGACAAAGGACATATGAAGCTACTTCAGATTGAACTTGTGAATCTATTTCCGACCACCAGTAGAGGTCTCCTAATTTCTGCTTTGTGTGACTCTCATGTGCAAGCATGATTGGTTAAGTCTCACTGAAAGTCTTGAGCCTCTGCAAAAGTAGGGGTCTTTAGCTGAGACTTCATTTTTGATCTGTTAGTAAGAGGCAAGCGTATCCCCAGGGCAGTTAGTTTAGATCAAGAAGAACAGGCAGAGTCAAAGTCAGCAACTTCAAGAGATAATTTAATTGCAGAAATCCGAGCTTTCGTTTCAGGGTTGGTTTGTAGAGTGGGGTTAGAAGATAAAAATAGAGCATTCAAGAGAATCAATCAGCTTTGTATTTTGGTAGATGACATCCTGGATGGTAGATAACATCATAGTCACAACAACAGGTAGTCAGCAATTGTCATTGCATCTTTCTTTAGTCCTCGGAATTACAGAGTATCTGTTCGGTTATAAAAAAAACAGTGTGTGTGTGTGTGTGTGTGTGTGTGGGGGGGGGGGGGGGTTCAAAGGGCACTGGCTTCAGTCCATCCATCCATCCATTAACGTCCACTTATTCCGAAGTTGGGTCACTAGGGCAGCAGCTTGAGCAAGGAGGACCAGGCATCTCTTTTCATAACCACCTCTTCCTGCTCTTCTGGGAGGACCCCAAGGCATTCCCAGGCCAACGAAGAAGAAGAGAAGCATAGTCTCTCCAGCATATCCTGCGTCTTTCCCAGGGTCTCTTCCCAGTCAGGCATGCCCGAAGCACCTCCCTAAGGAGGTGCCCAGGAAGTATTTTTACCAGATGCCCGAACCACCTCAACTGGCTCCAACATTTTTCAGTCAGGTCATCTGGACAGTTTCTTTTTTTTTTTTTCTTTTTTTTTTTTACCTCAACTGGCTCTTTTTGATGTGGAGGACCAGGAGTTCTACTCCAATTCTCTTCCGTATGACTGAACTTCTCACCCTATCTCTAAGGGAGAGTCCAGCTACCCTGCAGAGGAAACTCATTTCAACTATCTGTATCAGTGATCTAAATTTTTTGGACACTACCCAAAGATCCTGGCCATAGCTGAGTGTAGGAAAGTAGACTGACCAGTAAAGAGAGAGCTTTGCCTTATAGCTCAGCTCTCTCCATCGCAACAGGCCGACAGAGTCCACAATACTGCAGATGGAGCACCAGTCCATCTGTCAATCTCACACTCCCTGTCAATCTCACGCTCCATTCGTCCCACCCTCATGAACAAAAACCTGAGATACTTGAACTCCTCCATTTGAGGCAGAACCTTCAACCCAAAAAGAGCAATCCACCCTTTTCAGACTGAGGGCCATGGCCTCAGATTTGGAGGTGCTGATTATCATCCCAGCAGCTTCACATTTGGCTGTGAACGTCTCAAATGAGAGCTAGAGATCATGTTATGATAACGCCATCAGGACTACATCATCTGTAAATAGCAGAGAAGGAATCCTGAGGCCACCGAATATGACTCACTCCGCCCCCTGGCTGCACCGAGAAATTCTGTCATAAAAGGTATGAACAGACGGTAACAATGGGCAGCCCTGGCTAAGTCCAACTCCCACCCTGAAGGGGTCCAACTTACTAAAAGCAATGTGAACCAAACAATCACACTACTTGTATTGGGACCGAGCAGCCCATAGCAACAGGCCCTCAACCCCATACTCACAGGGTATCCCCCACAGTGTACCTCAAGGAACATGGTCAAACGCTTTTTCCAAATCCACAAACACATGTAGACTGGATGGGCAAACTCCCATGCACCCTTTAGGACCTAGTGAAAGTAAAGAGCTGATCCGATATTCCACAGCCAGGATGAAACCCACATTGTTCCTCCTGGATCTGCAGTTCAACCAACGATCAGACTCGCTTCTCCAGAACCCCTGAATAGACCTTACCAGGGAGACTAACGAAAGTTATGCCCCTATAGATAGAGCCCACTCTCCAGTCCCCCTTTTTGAAGATGGGAACCACCACCACAGTCTGCCAGTCCAGTGGCACTGCCCCCAATGTCCACACAATGCTGCAAAAGCATGTCAACCAAGTCCGTCCCACAACATCCAGAGCCTAAAGGAAATCAGGGTGAATCTCATTCACTCCTGGAGACCTGCTGCCATGGAGCTTTTTAACTGCCTCTGCAACCTCATCCAAGATTATGGACAGACCAATCCCCAACTCAACTTCCTCCATGGAAGACATGCTGGTGGGATTAAGAAGGTCTGAGAAGTATTCCTTCCACCTCCTGATGACATCACTGGTTGAGGTCAACAGCACTATGCCTTCACTGAAAACAGTGTTAGTAAAGTGCTGCTTTTCCCTCCTCATATGCCTGATGGTTTGCCTGAATCTGCTTGGAGTTGAGTGAGAGTCTTTATCCAAGACCTCACCAAATTCCTCCCACATCCAAGCTTTTGCCTCAGCAAAAGCCAAGGCTGTGGACCACTTGGCCCTCCAGTACTCCTCAGCTGCTACCGGAGTCTCACCAGCCAACAAGGTCCAATATGACTCCTTCTTCAGCTTGACAGCCTCCCTAACCCAGGGTGTCCACCACCGAGTTCAAGGATGACCACCGTGAGAAGTACTGACAACCTTGCAGCCACATCTCAAGGCAGCTACCTCATTCAACCTTTATTTACAGTATACAGGTTAGTCCCACTGAGTCACGAGGACTCGTTTTCAAGAGAGACTTGTTACCACAACAACTGAGGTGTGGAACATTGCCTGCTCTAACTCAATGTCCCCCGTCTCAGCTGGGATGCATTTAAATCTTTAATCTTTCTCGGAGGTGTGAGTTGAAGCTCTTTCTGATGGGTTTTTGTGCCAGGTGTTCCCAGCAAACCTTCACTACACGTTTGGGTCCAGCGTGTCTGTCTGGCATCTTCCCCCACCATCTAACCAAACTCACTACAAGGTGGTGATCAGTTGACAGCTCAGCTCCTCTCTTTACCCGAGTGTCCAAAACAAACAGCCGCAAATCAGATGACACAACTACAAAGTTAATCATTGATCTACGACCTAGGGTGTCCTGGTGCCAAGTGGCCAGTTATGGACACCCTGATGTTTAAACATGGTGTTTGTGATGGACAAACTATGACTACCACAGAAGTCCAACAACAGAACATCACTCGAGTTCAGATCAGAAAGGTCGTTCCTTCCAATCACGCTCCTGCAGGTCACATTGTCATAAACCTTCGTTAAACCCTTACCAAACCCTTGGTTGTCCTCAGGCTGTTTCTGTGAGTAGCAAGTTGGCAATCTAGCCTAAAACATTTGATTGTTGTACATGATGATTGATTGTTTTAGATGGGTGTGTTTTGCACAGGTTAAAAGCCTACTTTTGAGATTACAACAGGAGGTTGGCTTGAAACACAGCAGTGAAGGCTACCTATGGGACAGATCTGGTTGGCAGGCCGTACACTAAGGAAGCCCTCTGGATGGGGAATGAAATGTTCATGCTCAGCAGCTGTGGGTTTTTTTTCCATAAACAGTGAGGTTAGTCAAATTATTTTGGACACTGGGAAACCTTTGAAAATTCCACTCATCCTTTCTAAAAATCTGAAGGAGCAAAAGTCAGTTTATATGGAATAAACAAATTGAAAAGGTCATTCAGTGTAATGACTGCTGTTTATTTAAAATCCATCAAGTGGTTCATGAGATATTTTTCCAACAGATAGACAAATGAACAAATGCACATACATGGGCACTAATGCCCTTTAACCTTCATCAGCAGTTGTTAAATAATTTTACTGCAGGTGAAGAAACAAGCTGTCATCAGTCAAATTTCTATGTGAAATATATATTAATTTAATTATTTTATTTGATTGAGGGTTTTTTTTTTGTTGTTGTTCCTATTTTCTTTTTACCAGATTTTAAGTAATATTCTAATGACCATACATCACAGATAGAATTGGAATAATGCATTTACATTTTATGTTCACTACAATTTGTTGGTAATTTTTACTATGCTACCCCAACTTTGAAGTAGCATAAAATTTGAAAAATTATTTTAAATGAGAAACAACATTTTACAGGTACAATATTTTTGTAAAAAGAAAAAAAAGGAAAAAAGAACATCCTTTCTGTCTGTCATTATTTTTAACTTAAAACAATCATATTAAAATAGTTTATATATATATATATATATATATGATCCCGGACGAGCCCCCACTTGTAACAGGCCTGACTCATGTCCATAACAAGAATGAGGGAAGACAAAATATGGGCCAATTAAATACAAAGTAGTATTATTGCACAAACAAAACCCAACCAAAGATAATAAATATAAATGCGCAAGTATGTTTAGTGTGTGCAGTGCAAGAGTGAGTGGATGTGCATCTGACGGAATATGTCCAACCAAAACCAAACTGGAACAAAGGTCAAAAAGAGGTTACCTGGAGGAGAGGGAGAGGGAAAATGTTACAAGAGCTCTCTTAAATTTTTGAGCCCAGGTTGCTCCAGTTGCTCAAGGTCCACTTCTGCCTGCCGGAGGAACCACCCCATTAGTCAGAGGAGGGGCCGTGACAATTTCAATCTTAAAACTGTAAACATGAAACTTAATTAAAATCCTGGTGTTCCTTAAAGGAATATGTATCACTTCTGTCTTCCATGCCAGAGTTTTAGACTAATATCTTATTCTGAGAGGGGACAGAGAGAGCCTTTACGGTGACAACGTGTAAATGATTTTACACTCTGTCTCCTGGAAAGATGTGAGATGTTGCGTGATGCGTCTGCCCTCAAAGTAGGGATGAATATCAGCTACTACTAAGTAAAATAAATCTCAGTGTCTGTAAAACCAAGTTACTGCATTTTTGTGTTACTGTACAGGGATTAATTGATTAATTCATTTGAGAGTTTCACTAAAATATGTCCATTGGTTTATAAGATATTTTGTTAACAGGCAGTGTTAACTCTACAAGTTAAGGCTAAAGTTTTAAGCAAAGATGTTGTGCAATGGGTAGCGCTTGGAGTATGTTTTGAGAATGACTACCAGCTACTACCGCCCCAAGTCTTACCTCAATATCTGTAAATTATATCAAGTTATAGCCATATTTACATTGCATAATGTTGGTTAGTTGGGATGGCCATCTTAAGTTTAGTTGACTCCAAAAGTTAATCATTTGTAGATGTCCAACCAGTGATGACTCTGAGAATTTTGTTAAGGTATGTCCATTGGTTCATGAGATATTTTGCTAACAAACAGACATAATTGATGCCAATAGTTATTCCAAGATTGTAAGCAAAAGTATTGCACAGTTCATAGAGCTCTGAGTATATGTTCAGAGTTTTTGCTCAGCTGCAACACCAAATTTTAGATATCTGTAAAATCTGTTGTTGTAGCCATTTTTTTGTTTGCTCATGTTGCTTAGCTGTGGCAGCCATCTTAAATATGATTGACTACAAATGTTATTTAATTGTACATCTCCATCCATTGATTATTTTCTGGGACTTTAATGCAAGTCCAATCATTATGAGATATATTTCTAAAGGTACAAACACCCACACAGAAAAGCAAAAACATTTGTTGTTTCCCCTTTTGCAGGCAATGATTGCATCTTTGTTCCAAATTAACCAGCCCTCTATGGCACGACATTTGTCAGACTTTGTATACAACGCCTGAGGTCAGGTTAAAAATTCAGACATCAATAGAGAATTACATGAGAAGCAGTTTCATATCAAGGACATTGGTTTGATTGCTTCTTCCTATTTTAAA